TTCATGGTTGTGTTTTCTCCTTATTTGTATCGTTCTTGTTCCTGTTTCCCTCTGTTTGCTGTTCTGTTAAACTGCCCTTATCCCGACCCACCAGTTTCTGCCTCTTTCTTTCCATTCTCCTCCGCACGCCGGCGGAGGGAGGGCTTGTGTTGCCGGCGGCAGCCGAAACCAAAACACAGTGGTACTGTCTGTTCTTCTAGCAAGAGCTTCCTTCTATTTTAAATGCCATAGGAGAGAACATACAAGCATTACATTTTACAAACTGCCAATAAATATGAAGTACCCACAACCAAACAGTGAGTGGGACGGTTACACGCTCTGCCAGTAAAGACAGACAAGCACACACTGTTTCACTGCAGGAGTCAGCTAACCACACTGTGGCAGGGTGGGAACTTCCCTAGAGAGCACTTCCAGCAAGACAGCCCTCCATTTGGGGAGGCCGGAGCGCTAAATGGAGAATGGTACACACTGTGTTAGTGAGCACAGTAACCCAACATCCACACAGAGAGCTCACAGCCATGTAAGCACTGGGGGTTTTTTAAAAAAAAGAAAAAAGAAAAAACGTCCCCCAAAAACCCACAAGCAAGATAAATGAGCAGCTTTTCATCAGCTCACAAATGCTCCTCTCTGATCGGAAGGGCAAAGAGGCACAGCTGGCAGCACACTGCTCTGCTCCCCCGGCACTCAGGCAGCCTCTAACAGCGCAGCGCACAAGCTCTCCCTTCAGAGGCACGGCTCTTCTGGATGCTCCCTCTACAAACCTGGCTTCGCACGCTCAGCAGACTCCTTTCCTAAACTGCCTCTATTACACATACTTGTGGGACCCAGACCCGTCAACCAGCCAGGAGATCATGCTGTAAAACAGCCAAGTTAAGCACCAAGGAAGGGAGGGGAGCGCAGGTCAGTCTGGGACACACAGGGCTCAGAACAGATGTCAGGCTGGAGTGGCAAGTAACTTGCCACTCGCACCAGGATAAAGCTCTGGCAGCGAGGGCTAATGCTGCTGTCACTAGGCATGAGCAAGTCTGAAGGACAGGCTGTGAGTCTCCACACAGCACTGGCGAGGCAGACAGTGAATTACCGAATGCTATTTTGATCTCTGATTAACTGATACCGATAGTGGCTCTTTTCTGACCCAGGGGCTGGAAGAAACAACTTAGAGCAAAAAGTATATAATCAAGAGCAAAAAGTATATAATCAAGGCACTTAATGACCTTCTTGGTACTAAAAAGCTTTTAATTCAGATCAGAAAAACCTCGCCAGCAATCACGAGCAGCTGAAGTCAAACACTTTTAAAGCAGAAACACAGCGAGGTGATGGAATCGACCATCAAAACCTGATCTCTCTCTCCAAAACACTTCAAGATGATCCTTGCAGCAGGGTTACTACCAGATTTCCTTTCAGAAGCTGAAACTCTTGGCAATCGCGGCAGTTTGCAGTTGCTTACGTATTTCTCTCTATGCAAGAGTGGATGCTATTTCCATCTTGATAAGGCAGTCCACAGCTTCTGCACATCACACCACATCGGGACGGGCTAAAAAAGGGCTACAGATCCCTAATGCTTCCCTGTTTGCCAGTCTCCCTTCTTCCCTTCGCCTCATAATGCATGCAGTCTGGTACACAAACAACAGCTTCACAGCAAGACCATGTCTGTGACTGCTCCAGTATCGGGATACTCTCAGAGAACAGGGAAGATGAGCTGTAAGGTCTCAGTCCCTGGGATTGCTCCAAATATACCATGGGCACAGCAAGGAAGCTGGTTGCAGGGAGAAGACATGATAAGATCCCCTAATATCTTAACACACACACACACACGTGGAAAGCTAACAGTTTTCCGCCTCCTGGTAGGACACTGGGAGCCTGCAAAGATATCCTTCCACAACACAAAACACAGAACCCGAGGAGATCAGGCAGTATCAGCAACCAGATGTGCTTCACATTACTTAAGGCATACAGCACTTAAGCTCACTTACGCAAACCTAATTTACTTACACCTATACAGACACGGAAGCACCAGTACTGTGCTTTGACAGTTTTAAATTCAAGTGCCAAATGCCAGCAAGGCAGGAAGGTATAGGGAAGACTGGATCTATACATAGTGCCTGCCTCCCAGAGGAGCGCAGAGAGCCCTGCACCGCTTCTCTGCCAGTCCGACACTGCCGCAGTGCTCCCCCAACACACATCTGGCTGTGCAACAACCAACGCAGCGCTAAGGGCTGCCAGCAGCTCACTGCCTCTGCCTGTGACATCTGAGCTCATGGAGAGCTCAGGCTCTCAGTGAGCTAACACTGACACTTCCCACTGGGTACAGTCAGGCACCTGTGGGACACCGGCAAACGTCGTTAATTGAGCAGTAGACAGGAAACAGGTACTCACAATCTGCTTCTGTTTTAACGGCTTCACGGAGTAACTGCCATCAACGTGCTAGCAAGGAAAAAAGAAAATGCATTAAACAGATGAAGTGTACAAATTCAGAGTAAAACAGAGTCATGATCAGAGTTGGTGTCTGCTACGTAAGGGGAGGATGGCATATGTACAACTGGGACAGCCTGAATGACAGTCACTCCCAGCAGAGTCAGTGGAACAGGGCATCAGGGTGCTCCTTGTCTGCTCCAGTGCAGAGCTAGATGGACTTGGCTCAAGTTAAACCTGGCTGAATTGGGTCAGAGCACACACAAAAATCCCCTGGCATACTGGATGCTTTCAGGCTGCAAGCAGTCCCGCTGGGTGCAAACACCTCTTTAGCCAGTCCAGCAAGACTTGGCAGGGGATATTTGTTACCACCCTAAATAACATCCACTTACAGAGCCCCTCGTGAGGCCAGAGCTCCTAGAGAGCAGGGGGCTGGCATGAGGCTGAGAACAAGGCTTGGAATCAGAAACAAACCACGTGTGCTCCAGATTGCCATCTTCAGAGCTGCGGTGACCGTCTCGAGCCTTTCATTTGCTCAGTGGTGACAGGCATGGTTGGAACTATTCTGTATATACCTGGTGTCAGAACCAGTGATAGGAACAGCATGCTGTTTCGATCTTCTCCATCATTTGCAAGGGCCAACTAAACTGAATAAAACCAACTCCTCTGCCAGAGTCTAGAGAGCAGGAACGGAGAGAAACGGAGAGAAACGGAGAGAAACAAACGGAGAGAAACGGAGAGAAACGGAGAGAAACGGAGAGAAACGGAGGCCCTGCTGCTGTGAACAGTTGCAATCGTGCATCTGTTTGCTGAAGGAGTTTCAGAAGGAAGGGACAACAACTTTGCACCAAAAGACAAAACAGCCCTGTTTTCCAGGCAAACACAAAGTGCCAAGTTTCTGCCTTTGGAAGAGCTGCAAGACCAGACTATGCATAGCATCAAGGTTAGTATTCTGATCTGAAAGATGTATATAAATAGCAAGCTACCCAGGCCTGCTGCTCTGCCTGTCCTCTGAGCATGCTCTCCAGATCAGCAGCAGTGCTTATTAGCAACGACCTCCTCTGAACTTATGGACCCATGCTTCAAAAGCTGCAATTATTCAAAGGATGGGGAATATATTTTAATCAAACAGGGAGGAGAAAGAACTCAACAAGCACTTTGCCCTGTGACTTTTTATTAAAAGACAGATCTTGATCTTGTTTTAAGCATTCAGTGGAAGATGAGAAGTAAGAAGCGGCCCCACCAGACAGCATCTCCCTCTCACAGCACACACAGACTAGAAAAAGAAGGGAAGCACTTTCAACCCTTGCACTCAGCCCTGGACACAGGACATAACCCAGCATCGATGGAACGGCCTGACCAGCTTAAGCTGGTTCCCAGTTTTGCTGCATACCTCGTTCAGCTCCCTGAACACTACAAGGGCTTTTGCCATCACCTTTGAGCATCCAGAGAGCTCAGAGGTTCTGTACAGTAGGTGGAATTTACCTTTACTCCTTGAAATCCTGCTTCTAAAGCTGGAGCGCTTCAAGCCATTTTCCAGTCTCATGAGACAGAAACTTCCAAAGCTTCACTTCTGCCCTCATGTTAACATATTTCCAGTATGTGTGTATTTTCCTACTTTCTATACGGTGCTGTATCAAGTGCTGGCCATGGGATGCTAGAACGGGAAGCTGGGACAAATCCAGGCCCAAGCGAGAGCTCTACTCCCTGAGCACAGAGGCTGGGCTTACTGCAACAGCACTACGTTCAGATACCTGGAAAACAGCAACTAGACACACTCCTTTGTAAGTAAAAGTCATACTCGCATCATCAGATCCAAAGCCTAATCTGAACTCAGCTACAACCAAACAGCTACGAAGGCAATAGCCAGGGGAGCACAGGAGAGTCTCGCAGATGAGGAAGGCAAACGCGTAGGACACTTCAAAATCAGGCTGTAACATGCAGGACCTGGTGGTCTCATCTACTTTTCTCTCCTCAGAAAGGGCTGAATAACCATTTTGCAAGGCTAGGGGGTCTCCGCCTACAGTACTTGCCCACCAAGATGACGGATGGGCTTCAAACACTACAGCCTTCCCCAAGGACCCTCTGCCCACGCTGTCCTCTCCCAGGTGCTGCTGAACAACGACGGAGGGATTCCAGTGTGGTTTGTTTTTCCAGATCAGCTGGAGGAGGAAACACCAGCTACAATTAGCTGAGTGACCAGCTCGGGTACAAATGGTAAGTACAGGCTGCACAGGGGCTGCCGCAAGCAATTATTTGTACTACAATAGCACTCAGGAACACCAGTCACAGGCCAGGACTCCATTGTGCTAAGTGTTATACAAATACACACTAATGACCCACGGAAATGTTTACACTTACAAGGACAGGGGCAGAAGGAAAAAAGAACTCATTTACCTTTTCAAATGCAGCCAGAAGAACATGGGCATGACCCGTCACCTCAACCACCACTGCAAAAAGAGAAAGAGCAGACCTGGTTAAACCTTGAAAACAGCACAAGCATAAAACTATCCCAAGCTGAATTTTAGTCCACTCACAATTTCTAAACTACCACCTGTTCTATTTTCATCTCCTCTTGCAATTTAAAACTTTCCGTATCTGGTCGTCAGGTTGGTTCATCTCACACTCCTGCAGACCAAGAACAACACCCTGCTGGGCTCTGTGGTGGGCCCTATGCAGACGTGCCTTTGTTATCTTGGGTGCTCCAAACTACTCCTCTTCATTTTCAAAGGTTGGAAAGGGAAAGTAAGACAAAGTGCTCAGTGGGATTCTGCGCTCCCCTCAAATTTCTGGTTTTAATTACCTGAATTTATCACAGATATTAATAAATCCATCTGGTTTAACAGCAATTGGCAGCATTTCCAGCCCTGGTACCTATCACTTCATTTCACTTTAAGCCGACATGCTTATAAAACATTTATTTCTCATACCAATTTTGGACACTGAAACATCTCTGTCCAGTTCTCTGATTTTTTCCCCAAAGACAAACATCACGTCTTCCCTCTTCCAAACTTGAGGCCTCCCACTTAATCCAATGGCATTGAGAAGGGGCTGTCAGAGGTGTTCTGTACTGCATTCCTGGCTCCCTCAGCAAATACAGAAGCCTGAGATACAATTCCAGTCTCTCTGGCTCAAGCCTCTCAGGTTCTGTTCAGCTCCAACTGGTTGGACCCTTTTGCTTAATTAGGTTCAGACTCATCATATGGCAATGGGAGACAGAGGTCGTGGAGAAGTCACCGAGGGAAGGGAAGGCACGCAACTACCTCGCCCTGCCTGCACCGACGAGTACCGGGTTGTGCTCAGCACATGCAGAAAACCTGGCAGTCACTACTATCAGCTCTGTGCAAGAAACTTCACAGCTGAAGGAAGCAGGTCCTGTGTTGTCTAAGATGGAGAGCAGTTCAACAGCTTCCTTTGGGCCTCCAGAACAGCATGGACAACGAAAGGAACCATTCCCTGGACTACGGCACAAAAATCATGTTTGGAAACAGCAGCATGTGGGAGAAGAGAGTCCATGCCTTCAGATTTGCTGGATGACTGAGACTGGTCATGGCAACCTAGGTGCAATCAGGAACACAATGGCATGCAGAAAAGAGGGCTAGAACTGTGAATTCATCTGCTTGCTCCCCTCACTGCCAGCCAAGAACAAGGCTGTTCTAGCTCACTCAGTAGATTAAATTTGGGTCCCTCCCTGAGCTTGAATAGCCAAATAAGAGGTAACAGGCATCGCTTCCCTTCATCTCCTCCGTGGCATTCAAGCAGCGTGAGTGACTGGAGCTGTGCGACCCGCTCTGTGCAGCACCTTCCCTCCCCGCAGGGCTTCTGTACCTTTCCCTGAAAGCAATCCCGCTGGCAGGAACGGGAGAGGGCTAACATTTCAAGCTCACATTCTTCAAAGCACGCAAACATCTCCTGGCAGAATTCAGTCCAAACCAACATCTCGCTGACTGCTATTTTAATTTGCCATTCAATTTTATTTAACTCAAGCAGTTACAGGCCAGCTGTAATTTTTCAGGTGCTCCAAACACGCAAGGCCAGCTCCTTCCAGTCGCATCAGTTAAAAAAAGAACCAAAATACACAACAATTTCCTCAAATCTTGCTCAAGAGTCACATATTTTTCTGCTGATATTCTTTCCAGGAGAGGATTTAAAAGCAATTGCCCTTCCAGGTTATTAAAATAGATGACAGTACACTATTGGCTAAGACAAGGCATGGTATGTGCATAAATGTATGCTTCCCATGCTGCCTCCTGTTCTATTTTTGGTCCTTCAAGCAATGCCCCACATCAGAAAGTACAAATACCCTGCCAAAAGCTCCATAAACAGAGGAAAGTGTTTTATATTTATGGTCAGGAAATATACATATATGTCAAGTTTACTAACAGTGCCTGAAATCACCAAAAATAGATGCACTTTAGAAGTAATTTCCTTTATGTTGCACTGTGCTTTGTTAGTCACACTTCAAATTGGTTCATCCAGTTCTATTTCACTCTGCTTGGAGGACTGTACAGTAATGCAATGAATTTCTGGACACTTTCACATCTACAATGTAAGAAACTGAGCACAGCAATCGCACTAAACAATGCAATCAACAATGGATTTTTCCTTTCTAATTATTCTTAATTTCTGTACAAAATATTACAAAACGCAGGAGTGAAATGCTAGTCCTGCCGCCCAAAACAGCCCCCAGTTGTAGCGAAAAGGTGACTTCCTTGTGCGCTTTTCATTGCTGATGCTCAGAATGAGCGCAAACACACGGCGCCCAAAACCACACACCCCCTAAGGAAAATACTGCGCAAGGTGAGTAACAATCTAAATATTTACTGGACTTCCCTCTTCAAACTGGCAACGTGCTTGAAAAATAATCAACCATCTTATTCCTCATCAAAGGTAACGCTCTTTTGTTGTAACTATTCAGCACCCTTCAGAAAATGCAGGAAATTATAAACTGCTGAATGAAGCTCTATTTGGTTGAACGGTGGCCTGAGGATTTCAAAGCCATTTCTTTTTTCCCTGCCCATTCCCAGGCGAAGGCCCACCGCTACAGCTTTTCTGCAGACAACTTGCCCCTCAAAGAGGAGGAAAAGACTAAGGAGCCAGGAGCTCTCCTAAACACTTTTCCAACACCAAATACCTGGCCATTTTTCCTGTAAAAAGTTAAAGCTATTTTTAAAAGCATATTTTCATGGTTAGCTGGGCCCTTTTAATACAGGGAAGTTAAGACAAACTCCTGAAATATTTTTATTCTGGAAAGGCTCCCCAAGCCTTTGCTACAAGTAAAACATTTTCATTGTCGCAGGAGGAGGCCTGCCCTGAAGGAGTCACACAACCTCAAAGCGAGCTAGAAGACAACCAAGAGAGCACACTACCACACTTACCATCCCCTTCATCCACCACCGCTCGGATGACCACAGGGAACACGCCACGATCCAAGTCGAAGTTCAGCTGAAGGAGAGAAAAGGGATGAGGTTAGACAATTCACAGCAGGCTTGCCTGAAGACAACAGTCGAAATAGCATTAATGACAGAGGTATGAGGGCCCCTTCTGACAGGCCCCCAGTCCCTGGTCTCAGAAAGGCACGACAGAGCAGAAGGATTTAAAATTCAGGCACCAACTTTCAAAGGGAGTCAACCAGAGTAACTACAACACACATACATCGACATGGCACTAAACACGAGCCGTGGCTAGCAAAGCAAAGGATCTCCATCTGAATTTTACATAGTATTTAATTCTCACCAAAAAGTCTCCTAAAAGTCTCCTCAGTGACTTGCAGTAGGACAAGTTTCTCAAAATATATCTAGTGCCAGAGTTTTGCTCGCGTATTGTAGGATATACTGGCTATAGCACCACAGTACATGTTACGCTCCCTACTCCACGCAAGAAAGCCTAGTTCTTGTACGAAGTTCTTGAAGACATAGAGAAAAATCTGTAAAACTTCAAGCTCACACAACACTTTAAGGAAACACCAGACTAATTTCCATCTCTTGGCATGTTATGAAATTCAGGTCCTTGACCTAATCGAGGAGAGTGAAAATTTAAGATCTCGCTTGAGCGCAAGGAAAACAGACTCAATTTCTTCCGTTGCCCTGCACTTCATTAAAGCACTTCAAAAGCTCCATGTCATCTTACAAACACAAGAAAAATGCAACCTTACAAACACCGTCCTGTGCCAGGAAGGGAAGTGGCTCAGAGACTGGATTTCTGGTGTTTTTTGTTAATTATTGACTTGGAGTTTTTTGTCTTATCTCTTGCCAAGAGAGAAAAAGATGTCATTTCACCATGGTGCTCCAGCTAGTCTGTTTTCAGTTTTCCAGTGAAAACCGAGACCTAATTTGAAGCACCGCAGCACTGTTCAGGTGTGCTTCCTGTCTTCCCTCACTTTCTCACAGCACCAACATCATTTCCAGCGTGATTTTCTCCAGCCAGTCCCTCAAAAGATAAGCTATCAAGACAGCTGTTGGCACTGGCACAAATGGCAACCCAAAACACCCAGCCTGGAGGGAAGGTGACCCTCACCGTGAGCTTTAACATAGTTGAAAATGGTTCCTCCTCAAATGAATTACAAGCTAAATGTTCATCCTGAAATGAATGATAACTGTACACTGGGAGACGATATACCTGGCAGCCACCAGCCAAGTCTGCCGTAGCCCATTAGCCACATGGCTGCGGCTCTGCCAAGAGCTGCCAGCACTGGCGTCGCACTGCAACAGCTCACCAGCCTTCCATGAGAGGGAAGCGGGAATTGCGAATCTGCCGCTCTTCTCTCCAAAGCTGCACGCTTCTCGTGCAGGCTGCATGCCTTTGTGGCCACTCAGCTTCTGCAGTGCTGTCTGGAAGCAACTCTCAGCTGCGTAACAAAGCTTTGCACACACATACGCATCCGTTCAAACGTGCACACCTGACTGCAAACAGAAAGAATGTGCTGGAAGACCTTCTGATTTGACCTAGCCAGTCTTCAAATCAGAGGGATATTGATTTTCATCCTCTGTATGATGGTTTTACATTTTATTCCTCCTTCAAACTAGCTGAATCTATTTTCTTTCCAAAACAGCAGAGTAACAGAGCAAAGACAAGAATCTAATTTAACCTCTCAGTATTTGTTACAGAAGAGACTGATTGAGCCACTATTTTCCAGCTTGCATTTTTGAACCATTACGGCATGCCACAGAGGAAAAATTCATTGAGGACAATTGATTAAAATTGCTGAAAACAGCTTATGGTTCTGCTTTGCTTCCTGCTCTGACTTATTACTGTACGATAACAGTTACTATTCATCCATTTGAAGGGAAAGTCACATCACAGAATTGTGGTTGCTTTACGATATAAACTTTTGCATTTTCAAACAAAAGGCCTCTTTCAGGGTCCATTTCACATTCATTTTTAGGGACCTGAAAACAACTGTCTCAACACAAGCCACACACTATAACTTGCAAGCAAACCAGTACATTGCAAAGACAAAGTAAACTTTTATAAAGCTTTCCACATAACAACCCCATATAACATTGTTTTCTCTTCTGTTGGCCAGCCAAGAACTACATCATATGCGAGTATTACACCGAGCAAAAATATGAAGTAAACCTGGTTTTTTTGGACACCACCAATAACAAAGCTGGACAGCAATCTGAAGCATGCAATTGTACACAGCTGAGTGACAACACTCTGCCAGATGTCTCAGATAAAAGTGCTGCATTTCAGTGGCCAGTTAAGAAGATTCAGCCATATGCATTTTACTGGACTTGAGAGGACAAGGACTGATCAGTAAATAGAGCCAAAATGGGAGAAGAAACTCTTCCGAATCACTGTGGTTGTTCCACATTTTCTCCACAACCACAGCTCCCAGTAACACCAACAGAAAAAGAGGAGACAGAGGATGTAGCAGAATCAAGCAAAGGGAGCTTGAAGCTTACTTTTCCACAGCATCTCTCCCTTTAAGCTGTCAAAGGGACATGACATTAGTACTCAAGTTAAAACCTTGCTGGCAGGAATAAAAGTGAAAATTAAGCCTCTCAATTCTTTAAGAAGAATGGGATCGGAGCTCCTACTTTCCAGCTCTCTCAGACGACAGAAGGGATTGAAAATCAGCTCTTCCAGGATTTTGTAGGCTGAACTTGTGAAATCATATGTTGGCAGAGAAGCCAAGACATCAGGAGACCAGACTCTGCAGGCTCTTGGTAACCGCCACGGCATTTGTTGAAGCATGGGACTGATTATAGTTATAACTGTAACTTCAAGACAATAGCTATTCAATCTTTTCAAAAGACATGAAGGATTACTTTTTTCCATTCTTTTTTTTTGTTTCTTTTCTTCCTTTTTTTTTAAATAGGTAGAGTTATCTTTATTTATTTTTTTTTTAATAGATAAGAGTTACGGGTTCACATACACAATACTGTTATAGAGGCTTGGGTCAGGAAATTAACACTGTATCAGTGTTGACCTGGGAGAGGGGTCCACAGGAACAAAAATACTAGCAGTAGTTACAGACTGATTCCTCTGCATCAGATATCTCTTCTGGCAATTCTGCACACAGCAGGGAAAGATCAAGGCCTACCTGCCCTGCATCACATGCAGGGGAAGCCCTTGGGCCAAAGCTTAGAGGCTCAAAAGCAGAGAGTTACTGCCTGGGCTGGAATTTTGCAAAGATACCAAAATTAATAGGACTCCACAGATCTTGCTTGTAAAAGCCATAGAATTTAATTAAAACCAAGCCCTTGTCTGTTTGCAGTTACGGGTTAAACTAAAAGGAGGAAGGCATTCAGCATTAACGCACCAGTGTGAATCTGTCCAGAAGGGAGAGTATCTCCCCACAACACTGTACTGCTACTGTTAATAACGCAGGATGTGGCCCTTAAACAGAACAAGACTCTTCTGGAGCAGCGGTCTCTGAAGTATTTTGACAATTCATCCCATCAGTAAAAAATTTTGAGCACGTACTCCAAATATATGTATTTTTATAAGATATATACATGTACTACTGAAGCTCTTCCTGCACCCCAATGAATTGTCTTGCATGCACCCCACTTTGGAGATCGCTGTTCTAGAGGACCAGGTAAAAAAAAAACACAAACAAAACAAAAAAAAACCACCAAAACAGAAAGATCACGACAGACATTTGTTCCCACAAGCTCTCTGTCTGGCAGGGAGAGGAAGGTTGAGGAGTGGCAGGTTCCTCCAGGAAGAGGTCCAGTACCAGTCTCCCTCCCACACCAGATGTTGGGATGCCAGCTGAACAGCAATATCAAAAGTTGCTTCTTTGGGTTTCTTCACCATTTGCCTGATCCACCTGCCAAGTTCCCATACAGTGTTCCTACCCGCTCCTCCCAGGGCCCCATTCGTCTCATACCCACAAAACATGCCATGGCAGCTGGGAGAGGGTGTCTTTCACCCATAGCTTCGTGGCACTAAATGGAGTCCAGTGCTTCTGGGACAACAGGGTTGTGGAAAGAAGGGGACACTGAGAAGAGACTTACCTCATCATCCTTCCAGTCTGAGAAATCAATCTTGAAGGAAGGCAGGGAGAATTGCTGGCTTACCCCTCTCTTGTAATGAACTGTCTCTGATTGCAGAGAGGGATTCTTTGTGCTGTATCTGAAGAAAAGGGGGAAAAAGAAAAGTTGCTGTAACGAATGATTGTTCTCTGCTAGGCTCTCATTCACTCACACCCATCTGGCCTTTCAAGAATCACAAGTGGCAGCTCTAAGAGGCAGAGCTGGCAGGGGCTGGCAGCCATTCCATGGGGATACAAAAAGGGAAGGGCAAGGTCAAAGCAAGAAGGTGAGCACAGGGAAGGGAAAGCAGCGCAGACAGGCAAGGTCTGATTGGATCCACGCTGACCTGCCTGGAAACACTGGGTGCCAGAGGAGTACAGTGGGGTGTGCAGCCTGGCAAAGGCTAGCTCACTAAACCCAGGGCCTAGGCAACGCTGGCGTTCAGCCCAGCACACAGTCTTATTTTCTGCAGAAAACCCAGGAAGAATGAACAATGATCTAACAGTGGCAACACACCACCAAACACAGCGCTGAATGGTCTCCCGTGCCTCCGCAGGACAGCTCTGCAGTGAGAGCCGCTGCTTGGCTCACCACCATCCTGATAAGCAACAGCCATTCTAATTCACTCTTCCATTCCTCACGTGTTTCCCCAGAGGTGCTGCAGGGCTACCAACACTATCCGAGAGACACCAAGTAGTCCTCCATGCTGGCCACCAAAAGAAGAGTCACCATTCTTCCACTGCCTCGAGGCCCGGCACTGAAACGCCAGCACTGCCAGGCTGGGATGCACATCTGTGTGATGGGACCGTCCACCATCTTCTGCACCCACAGCCCACCCAGCGCTGTCTGCCTCAAGGGAAATGTTTCACTGCCCACTGACCATCACTACGGATGGCGTGATTCAGAGTGGACTTCAGCGGCAAAACAGGGTCAAGAAGTTTTCAGCCCTTTTCGGAGGGTGATTTCTGAGCTGGATGCGCACAGCCTCTTGCTATGCCAGTTCTGGCACAGGAGAGGAGGCAGCGAGCCACAAACCAGGGTGGGAACATCTAAAGCCAGTTTTAGCACCAAAGCCTTTGCTGTTGAGCTACCAACCATGTGTTGAGAGCATGCTGACAAACTGGAGAGCAAGTGAGAGATCCCTTGCCCGAGAGGCTTACACTGCAGAAACAGCCACCTCCCCCTGCACAGTGACAAGACAGGTCCAGCTCCAGCTCTACAAGAAAGACTTCAACAGCCAGTCACAGTAATGGGATGTTGTCTCTTCTGCCTCTCCTGGTCATCTCCAACCATTACCTTCCATGCAGAGCTACACACGGTGAGACTGCGAGAGTGCTGGCCTCTGGCCACCGCACACTGAACAGCTACAAGCTCGAAGCTCTGTTGACTGTTCAAACTTGATTGCCACGGTTCTTGATCGACCAGACAGCCCAGGGACAGGCTCCAGGGACAGGCGGCACATTAGCACCAGGAACTCTAGGTTGAGCTTTTCCTTAATTCAACTTGGGATATCACACAGCTCCTCAAACTTTGCAGATTGCATTTCTCAAAGAATAACACAGGCAGCCAGCCCTGTGAAGCAGACAACACCAGAAGAGACTGAGGTATCTGATGTTGCCAATTCAGCACAGAGGCCTGTCGAGCAGAGCAGTTAACACAGTGTGCAGAGGCAAAAAAAAAAAAAAAAAAAAAGAGAATCCTTGCTTGAAAAATGGGATTCTGTACTTTATAAGACATTCAGCTGTTCTGAAACACAGACACAGCTTAGAAATCACCAGGTCTGTAAGCAAAGGTTGGAAAGCTCCAAGCTCCTTCAGCCTAATTACACTTTGTTGAGGAGTGCAGCACATCAGAAGGGGATGGCAACACAAAGCTTTTCTACATCCGAGGTAATGCCTTCTGGTTTCTGTAAGCAAGGACCAAGAGGGCTGGGCAGCTCACTTCTAGAGGGGGTGAAGCAAAAACCGTGGGAAAAGCCCAAGGTGCAGAGTCAACCATGAACTGCAGAACTGAGCATCACGCCAGAGATGTGAAGACTGGGCTGGGGGATGGCAGAGGTGATGAGAGAGGACATGCCTGAACCTTAAAGCTCAGCTTTAAGTGATGCTGTGGCAACTTTACACTCAAGAGCTATAGCTCTGGCAGCTACCTGCTGCCAGAGTGCAAGAGCCCACAGAGACAGCCGGCTGCCCTCCAGGGCTCAGGCCAGCCAGCACTGTAACACAGAGCCTTAAAGCACCATGATTAGGATGTATTTTGCAGCTGAAGGTATAAGAACCTGGGTACTAGAAGATGATGAATATTTATTAATTCCTCTCAAATTCAAGGAGGAAAAGCCAGGCTCCCCGCTGGCATGAACTGCTGCCTTTCTCTGGAAAGCCAGTGTAGTTCCTGCACCCTCTGAGGATCCAGAAGGTTTATCCAGTGCCACAAGATGCATGTTAAATCCTGAAAGGCCATGATGGAGGCCAAGTTCACCACGAGCACTCCGCTCTTTCTACCAAGGCAGGTTCATTTTGTTATTTATGACAATACCTTACCCTCAAAGACCATTCTTTAGTGCGCTGAAATTGAGCTGCTTTACTAGAGGGTCTTACTCCCTCCGTTGCATTTAAAGCATGGTGTGGGAGAGATCAGAATGACAGGTCTTTTATGTGTGAATTACAGAGCAAGCAATTGAATGAAGTTTTATTTACTGAGTTGTCAAGCGCAATGAATAGAGCAAGCCTGTATTTGGCTCCTTTTGTGGCACTCTCAAAGCTTCCCAGCTCTGTAGAGAGGCACAATTCTTCCTCTACAGCTGGGAGAGTACAGGACGGAAGAGTGACTTATCTAAGGTGACAGCAAGTCAGGAACCTACTGGAAATAAAGTGTAGAGGAGAGAGTGGAGGTCACAGACTGCCTGGACGACATACACCACAGCAGCGCTGGGAAAGGGGTGTAAACAAGCTGATCATGAGTGCCAGGAAGGCCAGAGGACCTGCACTTACAGCAGCAAAAGCCCAAACCAGTCTACAATAGGAAAACAAGTAACGCTGTTCCAAGGAGGACAGGGTAGAACAATACTAGCGTAGACTTGCTGCTCTCACTGCCCCTGAGAAAAGAAATAAACCAGGTACATAGATTTTCTGAGCTGAAGAGTATGACAAAAATATCAAGGAGGCCTCCCCAAGTGAGCTTTATGCCTCAGACTGTGTGAGTGCCCAGCGCCCATTGCCAAAACACAGGTCAGACTTGGATCTGAACACCCAGACAACGCTGGAGACCTCCAGTCAGCAGCCAGCACCGCAGCTGGCGAGCACCAGTGTGCCAAGTGCCTGGTGAATTCCCTGAAAGCGCTGGTGACCCCGGACTGTTGCAGAGATCGATCGTCTTTCTAAGGTGCTGCACAGGATCCACTGCACAAGTACACACTCCTTGTGCCGCACAGGAGAACAACTTGGCAAGCTGTTACAAAGCAAGGGTCCTCCCTATCAGCGTCTAAGTGGTCTCTACCCATCCCCAGCCCTTTTGCTTGGCATCTGCTGTATTCATAAGACTTCTATTCCCTGCCTATGCTGCTGTGGGCTTGCAGCAAACAATAGTGGAGAAGCCCTGCAGAGCTGTGGAGATGTGTTACCGAAAAAGAGAGCATGTATTAAGAATAAAGGATACCAGAGAAGCAGAGAAGCAACGTGGTGCCTCTCCCTGCACAAAGGCTGAAATCTGAATGTTTGGGCCGCTGTTTCTTAGACTGCACCGGGCCAGGTGTCCAGCCAGATGGGAGGTCTAACAAAGCCACCTTGTGATCGCTGGCAGCTCAGGACAATGGGGAAATGGGGTCTCTCCTATTAGGTCAGGACCAAACAGAAATCTCTGGTCTTTTTTTTTTTTTTTTTTTTTTTAAACCCTTTTTTCTGCTCAGGTACCCCTGACAGCATTAGAATCACCAGCAACACGAGGTACCACACTGCTGACTGCAGCAGCAGCCCCCAGCTTTGTCCTCAGGATTCAAGCAGCCCATCTCCTCCTGCAAGCTCTTCGACACACCTTTACTCCCACAAAGCGAAGTTCACACTCCGCACCGACTCCTTCCTCACCTACGTCAAACCCTTCCACCCCCCCAAAACCAGCTGTGTATTGGACAACCGGCAGATGAGAAGCCCTGTGACTACATCACACTGATTTCTGAGAGAATAGGAAACAAACTAAAATGATTGCCCAGTCTCACTCCTCCATGATCAGCTGAGAAGCACTCACTGCCTGCATAGAGAAACTCAGCCTGTGGCTCACCCCAGCTTCTCCCTGTATGCAGTCCAGACTTGCTACTGGGCTCCTGTAGACCTTGAGTAGCTCCCAAGCCACTGGTAGCATGCCAGCATTCGGGATCCTCTGGCTAAGCAGAGTTAAACTTCTGTTGCTACATGCTGACTGGAGACACAACATGAATATGTGGGGGTGTTCCCCCTCACTCATCCCTGATCAGCACCTGGGGAAGTTCTCAGCCGGCCACCAGTCCCACCTCATGCAGACTTCTTCACTGCTGTGTTCCTCACGTGCAGCTCCGCCTGGCCCCGGGCTGCTGCAGACAGTCCAAAGACAGTTCCTGGTACCACAAGCACGCTGGGACCCCTGATGGAGAAGCACCAAGCGAGGATCCTGGAGCCAACTTGCCTCAGAGTTACTCAGAGCACTGTCCAGATCCCATTACTCAGAGAAAAGCAGGATGCATGTAGCAATGTTGTCCCAAGGTACCATTTTTGACTAGTAACAGCTGAAAGACAGTCTGTGCTTTGAAAAGCCTGTGGACAAAACGAGAATCCTCTTTCTTCAGTAACAGCTAAACACGTTGCCTGGCAATTTGCAGTGAACAGAGGACAAAGCAGAGCTACTGAAGGCAGAGTAACACGAGAGCTTTAGAGAGTACTCAGGAACCAATTCCTCCATAGCTGCAGGCTGCAATTGCCTGGCAGGCTCCATGTCCTCTCACCGACGATAAGGAAGGAGCCAGTCGTCCTGCTGGTGTTCAGCGGGGCCAGGAGCTGACGCGGAGCAAGCAGGCTGGCCCCACTCCCTCTCCCACCCGCACACTCCCCTTCCATTTTGGGCCATGATCTCACA